TGCCCAGAGCAGCAAGGGAGGTGTGGTGGACGTGGTAGCATGTGAGTTTCTCTTATCTGGACAAACTGGAAGAAGGGGCGGTAGAATGGACGGAGAAGAGACAACAGGGCAGCACAGGCACATAGGCTCTGAGATACGGCAAAGGATCAAAGCCCTCTTCCAAACCTTGACCCTGCACCCAGACATGGGGCCTGACACTAGGACAGGGTATCATTTAATTGCAAGTGAAAATTTACAGAGCTGAAGAGGGCAATTAAAACATGAAAGTAAGAAACAGAAATCATAGGCAGGAAGACTGGTTTGCTGATCCTAAGGGGCTAATGAGAGGGGGAGATCCTCCCAGAGATTAGGCAACTGAACAGACACCTAAGAAAGGAAAAAAAACAGAGAAACCCACAAGAAGACAAGACAGGGACCCAAGCGGAAATTTCTGCATGAGATAGAAGCTTAGTGGTGGAGACTTCAGTGAGTGTATCTATGGCCTTAGACTAGGGCAAGGAGGGAGGCCCTGAGGCCTTCCACTGTCTGCCAAGCAAATGCAAGGTCTTGGGATTGAGCACAGACTGCCTCGTATCAGAGTGGAGGACCCTTGGCATAGGGAGTAGACTCTGACCCTGCTGGAGAGGGTGCAGGTACAGCAGGCTGAACCGTAGCTCTCAAAGACGCCCAGGACCTGATCTCTGGAACCTGTGAATGTCACCTGTGAATGGCAAAAGGGACTTTACCCATACGCTTAAATGAAGACTCTTGAGATGGGGAGATTATCCTGGGTTATCTGGGTGGGCCCTGTGTAGTCCCAAGGGTCCTTATAAGAAAGAGGAGGAAGGAAGAGTCCTGGGTGACTCAGAGATTGGAGTGATGCACCTTAAAGATGGAGGAGAGGGCCACAAACCAATGAACACAGGTGGATCTTGAGAAGCTGGAATGGGCAAGGAAGAGATTCTCTCCTAGAGCCTCTAGGAGGCACCAGCTTATGGATCCCTTGAGTTTAGCCCATGTTTGAACCTCTGGCCCTCAGCAGAGTCAGGGAATACAATTACGTTGTTTAAAGCCACCCAATTTGTGGCGATTCGATACAGCAGCCCTAGGACTAACACAGGGAGTGAGGTCACGCTCATGTTGGGAAGGCAGCGGGGAGTTAGTGAAGCGCTTCGAGCAGAGGAGTCAGGTGATGAAGCAGCACTGTAAGAAGGTAACTCTCATGCAGAATAGACTAGAATGGCAGGAAACCGAAGAAAAGGAGACACGTGAGGAAGCAGTTTCAGTTCTGATGAGAGCAGATACTGTAAACTCACACAACTTTGGAAAATGGACAGGATAAGACACCTGTTGGAGAAGTATTTAGGTGGTAAAAAGAACAGCTCATTGTAAATGAGTGAACGTGGAGGATGGAGGAGGGCATCGAGAGGGACTCCTCCTTTTGTGCGGTGACCCTTCAACATAGTGGACAAATCTACTGGTGGATACAGAGAAAAGAGATGGTGACCACTGATGTCCCTGCTGAAACCAGGTAGAAATGCTCAGCATTTCTTGAGTCTTAGGTCTTGAGTCTTAGGGAAAAGGGAAGGATTAGAGATGGAGGTTGAGGTGGGCAGAGAAGAGAATCCCCCAGCAACGGTGAAGAAGAGCCAAACATTACCAGTGAAACTCTGGAAAATATGCAAAATGTAAATGATTTCTCTAGAGGAATAAGGGGGAAAAGGAATGAGAAGGCCAAAGATTTAGGAAGAGAATATGGAGAGAATACAATTGGGGACATCAAGGGAAGAGAGAATTTTCGAGAAGGCAGACCTGGTCAAGAGGGACACATTCTTCAGCTGATATAGATAAAATGATCACCGAATGGAAAAGTGAATCTCTGATTGGGAAGCCCTTGATTTCCTTCTCCAGAGCTATTTCTGTAGAATGAAAGGGGTTGAAAGCAAATAACAATATTGTGAAAAGTGAAAAGAAGTTGAGGACAGAGAGAGAAGATGCATAAACTACCCACTCAGGACATTTGGTGGTTACTATGTTGAAAGGAAACAGTGGTAAATTATTCCGGGGGAAGCTAGAAGGTTGGCGGAGGGATAATTCAAGTGGTTGAAGGGCTGTAAAGATGAAAGATGAAGATACAATGGAAGGAGCGGGGTCTAAGAGGAAGCAGAGAGGAGTGGGGAGCCGCCGTACAGGTAGAGAGGTTAGCCTTGAGAGCAAGGAGCTCATGACATTTGCTGAGGCAAGAGGGCAAAGAGAAATGAGAGCAGAGAAAAGTCAGTTTAGCGGTGGAGAGATGGGAGGTTGGGAAATTCCAATTCTGATGGTCCTTACTTGCTCTGTTTAAAAAAAAAAAAATTAGGAGAGGCTAATCTCAAGCAAGGAGACCTGGAAGTTTATTCTTTATGGGCTTCAGTTAGACTTCCCGAAAGACAGATGTTCCTCAATGTTGGTATGGCCAAACCGTGTAGTGGTAGTATGACAAATAGGGGCGTGACGGCTAGAAGGCTGGCCAAAAATAGCCATCTGTGAGTCTTCCTCAGTCAGGCAGAACTAGAGCACGCTGCATGTCTATAATAAAACCCACTTGGCAAGTTGCCGCATCAGAAGGGCTTTTCCTACCGTTCCCACAGCTGCCGCCACCCCTGCTTCCACCACCACTGATAATCATCATCAACGCCTACTGGGTGCTTACCATGTGCCCTGCTCTGTGTCAGACCCTGGGACGTTAAAGCTGAAGAGGGCACAGAACCTACTTTTGAGAGATTCTGTAGTGACCTGTGGAGAGAAGAGGACAGTCTTGACTCTAGTGCCTGACCTGAGAAAGGTGCTCACATAAAGATGGGCTTAGAAGGATCTACAAACTGTGAGAGCTGGAAGGAACCACAGATGGCATTACAGGTGAGGTCCCCACAGTGAACTAAGCAAAAGTCACCAGACCAATGCCAAGAGACCCAACCTGTTAAGTCCTGTGTACTTTCCGTTTCATTTCACCCCTAATAAGCCTCGTTTCCTATTCAATCTGTGAGCAAAAATAAACAACTTCAGGTGCGAAGATAAACAACAGAGGGACCCTTCTCACCAGAAGGTTTTGAAAGTCAGAGCAGGTAAGAACATATCATCAAAGGACTCGAGTCCAGCAAGATGTCACTTTTATGTCATGGAAGGTATAGCCCTCTCAGAACACTTGTCACCACTAGCATGGAAATCTCCTTCTGGAGCAGTCCTCTCAGAGTGTGGGAAAGTGGAAGAAAATCTTCCTTTGTTTTATGTATTTATAAGTCTTCATTGGAAGCATATTGCATGCTTTTGGAAGAAAAGGAAATTAGCGCCTAGGGAGGAGAAAACTATTTAAGAGTAATAAGTAGACCAAAAATACAAGAGATAAACTTCGTGACGCAGAGTAAGATCTGGGAGGAGGGTGATGGTATACATGGACAACTGAGAGAGACCTAAATAGACAGTAAAATGTTTGAGTACCTTCTAAGATCAGTAACAGGCAAGGGGTTGTATACAAAATACTTAGAAATAAGGTCACTGGTTGGAGTGTGACAAAAGGAACTCCTCCATGGTAAGAATGGCTTGAACTCAACATGGGGAGGGTACAGTGCCAAGGTCATAGATACATCTCCTTCCTGGGCTCAGTGTTGAACTTCAAGGACACCACAAAGCTCGGGGCAGAAGCAAAGGGACAGAACCAGGCATTCCGGGGAAGGTCACCCTCATTTCCCAGCAGTCCCAGAACCTGGCCATCCCTGAACCCCTGGCAAACAGACACAGGGGAGGAATTAGCCTTTTGGTTCAATCACTAAGCTCTGGCATAGAAACGTAAGAAAGCTTTGCCAGCTGGAACTGGCCTTATCTGCATTTGCTTACATGACACTCCTTTCTTGGCAAATTGGAATCAGAACAATTTTCAGAGACTGAAGTTTGAAAGGATGCTAGAAGCCTGTGACTGTGTTGTTGAGTTTAGGGGAATCAGGACTTGGAGGGAAATGCCTGCAACAACCAGAGCCCAGCACAAGCCTCTTGCTTCCTCTGGAAGGAAATGCCCTGCCACGAGAGAGGCCCTCGTGCCTCTGCCGCCCCTTGAGCAAGACAAAACAGAAATCTGTATGGAGCTGGGGCAGTCAAGAGAGCTCAGCCACAGGGCCACGTTTTCCACGGCAGCGTTGCTGACACAGGGGGTCCCTCATAACAGAGGGACTCTTGATCATTAAATCTTAGGATGACCTCCTTCTTGAGTTCCCATTGCACTAATGCCATTGCTTGCCCTTTAGCAACTCGCACATCCGTACTCCGCCTCATCAGAGTGCCACGAGGGTAAGCTCAGAAGAAACTCCACGAATGGCAGTTCTACACCAGTCTTGGTTGATCTGAATATGTATTTGCCAGCCAGGACTCCTCCCATGCCAGAAGGTGAATTCAGAAGGTCCGAATAATTCCAATTTCTTATACTTACTTGGACTGAATACTAACTTGCTCTGCAACAGTGGACAAAGATGTACTGGTAAGGCTGTTATCCAGAGCTGTGTCAATACCTGAGCCTATGGAAATTCCCTCCTTAGCACAGATCAGTGGGGAAAACATTGGCCTAAACCCAGGGCAGGGTGGAGTGAGGAGAGGTTTGCTCTGTGGTTATTGGATGGAGTTGCCAGCCAGGGAGGGCAGAGGCAGGACATAGAGGCGGAGACTCCAAAACTCTCCTGCTTCTCCCCTGTCCATACGAACAGTCGAACACTTTGCCCTTGCTACGACAGCAGAATGCACGGAGCTGGTAGAAACCTCTAGAGGACTCTGTCCATGATTGAGAACACAGTGACCATACACTTGTGACCCCATCCTGTATCTAAAGTTTCCCCAAACCCCCCAACCTTGGCCATATTACAGATGGGCACAGAGCACCGAGGCAGCATCTGAATGACCCCTTTGCCGACAGACTTCTTTGGTCTGGGCCCCTAATTCGCACCCAGACAGCCATACCTGCTCGGGATGTTGAATCCGCTGATGAGCTCATCACTCACCTTTGCTGATGTCTTCATACTCCAGCCAGAGTCGCCGCTGCACCTGCTTGTTTGGGTACCAGATGGAACAGGACTCCTCAAAGCCATAGATAGCTTCCTGGATGTAATGATTGCCAAACTGATCCAACAAGGCCACAAAATCACCACGCGATGTGGCCCCATCCAGGGAGTGGAGCGCGTTGCTGAGGGCTATGGAGAAACATCACGCAAGAGTGAGGACATACGGGGAGTGTTGTCCAGATTCCCGGGCCATTCAGCTTCCAAAGAGGAAGAGCCCCATGGCCCACAGTGATGCTGGAGAGCTGGCGGGACCTCTCAGCTGAGCATTTCCAGCTAGCTGAGTCAGACAGGTTCATTCCTCAGTGAGTGTCTCTCTGGCCAGTTGGTTACGCTATTAACTTTGTACAGGGAGAGCACTGACCAAATCTAACTCCCTCCTTAAGTCAATGTTGTTTTTTCTTTTTCAAATCCTAAGTCATGACATTAAATCAATTTAGTGAGCTCAAATAATGGCGTTTCCAAAAAAAAAAAAAAAAAAGAATAGCAGAGTCTAAAATAGAAACACAAATACCAGCAAAGAACATTTCACATCGTAAAATGAAGTCCTGCTTCGCGAAATTTCTGTTGTGTGTATGTGGGAGTGTGCATATTTCAAGGTCATGGTGTAAAAAAAAAAAAATGTATTCTAACTGTGGGTAGTGACCAAAAGAGTTTTGGGAGGTAGAATATTGCCTCCAGACATAGACACTGGTATCAGGAAGATAATGGATGAAGAGGGGTGAGAAAAGTCACTCATACACTGCTTATATTTTTTTCAGAAAATTAAAAGTATGCAGAGAGGGAGATGGTGAGTGGAGGAAAGGATCTGTTTGTCCTCCTCTTGCCTCCCCTGCCAAATCTCCATAGATTTGCCTTTCTTGTTTAGGAGAATTATACTGGTCGGAAAGATAGCCCACGACAAATTTTCCAAATCCGGTAACTTCTGAACCCCGCCAGCTTTAGTTAGCCTGCCTTTGTGCATACCTGTGTCCTATCAGGACAAGGCAGAGCCTGGCCCAGGCATGAGAGCCCGAGTGCAGAAGTTCTCATCACCTGTGGTGCCACGTGTGGCTTGGAAAGGCGTGTGGCAGCAGTGATATCCCACTGTGAACTCCCAGTGTGCGCACCACCTGTGCTGGGAGCAGGCTCAGCATGGGAACAGGACAGAGTCTCTACTGCTACGTTTTCCTAGAATGAGGAGTAGCTTAGATCTTTCGAGGTTTTTCTGTACCAACAGAATTGACTTCAGTAAGATTCCCCATCCCCCCAATCCCTTCCTGCCAAGAACTCTTTCAGGTTACAATAAACAGAGTTCTGAGTCCCCTTGTGTCCTATGGAGATGTTCTATATCCTTAATGCATTTTCTTTCCCTATGCGTAAGGCTTTACCTTTCCGTGAGTATATGTCCCACTTCCTCTTTATAATTCTCGGTCCTGTATCTTTTAGCTCTCTCTTGTTGGCGCTAGGGCTCTAGCCTACTACTGACCTGAAGTAGCCTACTACTGACCTAGCCTACTACTGACCCTACTGCTGACCTGAAGATCCCTCTCTTTGTCTTGTCATCCCAGGCCAACAATACTGTCTGACCCTAGTTACCTTTTCATCCAACACGGAGAAACCAGACTCTATGGCATAAACTTCCCATCTGGTACATTCTTTAGGTGGCTTCAGAGGAAGGAGTTGAGTAACGTTCTCCTAGTCCAAGGGGATGAGTTGGAATGGAGATGTGTACCTATACTAAGGCCTTATTTGTAGCAATTAACTTTCCCATCTGCAAATTGCACATTAGGATTGCTTAAGTGTTAGGAAAAAGTTGATCAAGGCATTTACTGCTCAAATGTCAAGAATACTTGCTCAAGGTGCCTCACTAGTCTGAAACAGTTTGTCCTGGTTTTTGGAACTCCCTGCCCCTTAGCTTATTAGGTATCTAACTCTCTTATCTATCATTTATCTTTTGCTCACTTGCTGTTTAGGGACCATTAAAAGCTGTTTTCTAATCTTCCCCTCACTTCCCGCCCCCCTTTCTTGTTCTTATTCTGTATTTCTTTCATTGTATGAAAACTTTAAGTGATGCTCCTTGCATTTGGAAGGTTTTATTCTGTCAGTTTATAAAAAGTCTCTTTTGCATATCTTCTCTATACACGGTGTGACCCGAGGAAGAAAGATAAAGTAGTTATTTATCTTCCCGGGGACTCCTCCCTCGCCCTTCCCATCACACCTATAGTCCAAGATAAAACTTGCCATCTCATCTATCTTTAGACAAGGATCCGATTCCTGGTGTTTGCCCTTAAGGGTGAATCTGAGTGGGTAGGTTACGTGGCTCAGGAAGCGGCTACATTTTTGACAACAACTGCAACAATGGGATAAAAGTCTTGTGCCCTTGGAAAGGGCACTCCCCGCCCCAGGAGCAAGTGGGAGGGACGGCTGGCTGCTGTGCTCACCCTGGGAGACGGCCACTTGGTTGAGTTTGATGTGGTACATCACAGACCGGACCTTCCAGTGCTGCAACACGGGGTATCCGGACACCTCGCTGAAGTTCACCATCCCTGGGGACAGAGGAGACGCGGGCTCAGTGTGCGTGATTGCTTCCCAGGTCCCAAGTCTATCCGGTTAGCAGGTGTCATTGTGAGAAAACGAGAAAGCATTCTTTGATGGAGATAATATCTGGAATCACAGTGACAACCGCTCTCACTGACTGAACCCTTCCTCTGCGGCTGACATTTTGCGGAACACTCTGCCTACGTAAAGTCATTTGATCAAGGCAAGACTGGTGTTAGGATTTGCACTTCACAAACGGGGAAACTGGGGCCCAGAGAGGGTGTTTGCTTAAGGGCCCCAGGCCACTAGGTGGATCCAGGATGGCATTCCCAATGTACTTGGGACACGGCAGGGTTCTTAACCATTCTGTAATATCTCCTTAGTAAATTTATATGAAGTTCTAGGCTTACTGTAACACAAGCTAGTTTTACTCTCTTTAATAGGTGTTGTAATTGACTCAGCTCACGTACCTGATAACATTGATTTTTCTGTCCCATTTAACTGATTTGTGTTCAGTATTTAAGTTTTAATTACTCTGAAGCTGATAATGCCGATTTCTTCCTCACCAAGGAGGGACAGGGTCGGTGTGACTCAGTCATTAAGGGGCAGCATTAAGCTTCCCCTTTAGGGACTGCCATCTGTGTGCCTGACATTACAACAGATACTTTATTTGTGGTCCCCCTTTTACCAGTGGGAGAACCGAGAAGCCAAGATACTTGTCCAGAGTCATTCTCAACAAGCACATCCTTGTAGCCGTTTTGACATGCTATAATGGGCTGTTCCTGCTTGAGTACCACAGAGAAAGAGGGGAATCCTATCTGAATTCTAGTCATTCCTTTAAATATAAAATGCTACAGAAACAAAATAATTAGACCACAAGGAATAAAAAAAAAAAATTACCTTGCTAAGCTTAGAAAACCAATTTTAGCTTCATTCCTAGGCCTAACATTTGCTGTGTATAAGTTATAGGAATAAATATATATGTGTATGCATGTGTGTAAATGCATATTATGTATATATGTAAATAGATTGGCGATGTGTATAGAAACTTTAGATAGATACTATGTGTAAATATTATGTATATAATGTGTATAAATATAATGGCAATAATACATATGTACTGCATTATCCTGCCACTGTGACCCATGCCTCCTTCAGGCTAAACCAACTAATTTAATACATAAACTGGATGAAGAGGGGGTGGGATTAATTAGCTGCTTGTCAACTCTGATAAAATTAGCTGAGTAACTGCCAAATTTCCATTTTGGTGTGAATCATACAGGAATAATTATCGGAAAGGCAAAAAGCAAAAAGGTCAGAAGGGGTGCTTAGTGAATGGATTGCTTAAATTTCATCTCGGGCAATCAACAGTAAGTTACTTGAAACTAAAAGAAAGTTTTCAGTACTTTTTTTGTTTCAAATGTTCTTCTATCGGTGCATTAAGCATTGTGACAACAGTCATCCTACTACATACTCTGGCTTTTCACCCTTGGGTTAATTTTAAAAGCACATAAATGAAATGCGAACTTTACAGGATTAACACCCCAGTCACATACCTGGAAGGCACATTTTGTTAGAGCATAAATGCGCATGTTTTTAGAGCTATTGTACGTATTGTGCCTTCTCTAGTTATGTCCCCACACCAGCTTGCTGTTATTTCAAAAAGTCTATTAATAATAAAAAAGAATAGCAAGCCCAATCAATGAAGATATTTCAGGATATTGGAAAACATTCCCTTTACTGGAGTTGTTTCCTAGTGGGAAAAGAAACAGGCAAGAAACCAGGAGGCGGGAGTTCTAACACGGGCGATGTTGCTGGAGGGGCAGTTTTCCTGCTAGACCTGGGCTGATTTCCTCTCTAGCTACCTGCTTTCGGGTTGCCTGTGTCTTCAGCTATCAAGCAAGAGGCTTAGTGAAGGTGCCCTCTTGCTTCCTTTTCGATCCTCTAATTCAGACCAGCTCTGTGACTTTGAGCTAGGTAATTCCCATGTTCCCATTTTCCTACCTGAAAAGTGGTGATACTGGTCATCTTACCTGCTTCACAGGTAGTTGCCAGAACCCGGCAAAGTTCTGGGCCTAAAAGGAGGCTGAGTAAAAATAAAGCATCATATACATGCATGGCATTTGGATTTGTCATCTTCCTCGTCACCCCTAATGGTGTACACTGGCCATTTCTTCCCAGATGCTTTTGTTATGAATTCCTAGGCTTGAGTTCAGAGCAACAGAGTGAAGAAAAAAATTAAGAAAGCAGGATGTCAGGCGATAGGAAGGGATTACAGTGTCCAATTTTCACCCACAATGAGCCAAACAGAGCTATGTTGCTTAGCTGCTGAACAACAATCTTACTGAGCACATCTCGGCTCTGCCAGTCCAGGAGACAGGTACAGAACTGTCAATGCTTGCGGGGTGTGGTTCTGTGCCTGCATATGGATAATATGTCCATTAGTTAAAAAGAAAGGGATATCGTAAAGTACATATTTTCTAGCTCGGTCACAGGACTCTTTCTTAATGTGCCCTTGACATGTAGTCAGGTCTAGTTTTTTATTTTATTTTATTACCATTTAGGAATATGTCTCTCAATGTTTCAATGACTCTTTTTTCAAACAATATATCTCTATGTTTTCTCAAGAAAGAACATGCTTTCCCCTACCTATGCTTGAAAAAAAGGAACGACTGACTAGACTTCTGCACAGAGAAGGAAGGAAGTAGAAAGGAAGGAAAGGGAAGAGGGAAGATTGGTTTCTCCTGTTATTTTATTGGAAATGTCATGGAAATGTATTATGCCCAAGAGTTCTAAAAGTCTGTTTCTTTCAGATGAACCTGAAGAAGTTCCAGAGAGATCACAGCTCTAACTCTTCACACAGATTTAGCAATTATGGCATCCATTGGCCCATGAATGTGTCCAGCATCCTCATCTCCCTCCTTGGTCTGCCTCCAGATTCTTCTTTTTCTCAACTGAGAGACTAAAATACAAACAGGCAATGGCCAGACCATATATAAAAATAGAACTCTGACCCATAACCTGTCACAAAAAGCTCAGGAAACGAACCTCCTGTCTATAGGAACCAGCCCAAACAGCTCGTCTACTGTGTATAAATCAGACTTGGAGAAGTCCGAGCGCTATCTCTAACAACCAGTCCAGGAAGCCAAACAAGATGCTTTATAAAAATCGGCCGAATGTGACCAGGACTTGACTGATAACTGACAGATTTCCTAATTTTTGTTCTTGCTTCCAACTTGGGTCCAACCAGAGAAAGGCAAATAGGCACCCCTTAACGTCTACCTAGAATACCACCTTCCTCCGTAGTTAGTAGGTCCACCTACATCCCAACAGCCTCCAATCAGGGCACACCTGAAGCCCTCCCTTGTTCTCTCTAAAGCTCTCCTACTCCTCTGCCTGCCCTTCAGTCTCGGCCAAAATGCCAGCGATGGTGGCCGATTCCTTTGCTAGAGCCAGCTCTGAAGAAGTAGCCTTCACCTGCTGTAATCTGGTTGCTCTTGTCACACCAAAAAGTGTGGTGAAGCTCAGAGTTCTTAACTCTTACTTTGATGCAGAGGGAAGCACCCAGCAAAATAAAGCACATCAGTATTTTCCTGAATGTTCTTCAAACCCATAATTCTGAAAGATGGAAATAGTTATTATGTGTAAAAGGATTCTCTGGTTAAACAGGTTTGGGAATTGCTGGATCAAGTGAAGTAGAAGGTATTTCTTCACTATATGGCTGCTTGGGACCTGCCTCTCTAGGCCAAGGTGTTGCAGATTGCTGAGAGGTAGATACTATAGTCTTTCCCAATGTATTTAAAGAAAGAACCTTTTTATGAGTGGAGCACTGGTTTTTCATGAAAAAATACCACTGGGCTTGTAAATGCTGAGGTTGGAGATTCTGAAGATCACTTTAGCTCTAAAATCTTCTAAACTTGTAGGTTTATGGGGATTATGACCTATAATGGCACCTAGTGCAACATACGATATTCTCTCTGTGATTCTCAGGAAAGATACAATTAAAATGTTAATATGGGAGAAATTTGGTCAACCATCTCTTTACTTCTTCTAGTCATTCTGGGCTTTAAAAAAAAAAAAACAGGACTGAACCTTTGGACATCAAATGTTAGACTTGTATCTCTCAAGGTCATGAAAAATGGAAGTGATCCATAGGGACATCCTTCTGCTCTTTTTACCTCCAAGATGCCAGATTAGGAGAGGTCAAAGGGGACTGGGGAGAAAGAAACTTCTGTTATGGACGAGGACCCAGTTTGGATTTGTTCCTTATTTCCAAAGATGCAGATTCAAATGTGGTCTTCTGATGTTTCTTGGATCTAGCCACGTCCTCCTCCAAAAAAGCCTCAGGTAGCAGCCAGGAGAACTATATGTCCTCCCAGCCTAGCAGCTGAAGTAAATAAAATCTCCTCACCTCCACAGTAATTTTTTTTTTTTTAAGATTTTATTTATTTATTTGACAGCCAGAGATCACAAGTAGGCAGAGAAGCAGGCAGAGGGAGAGATGGGGCAGGGGAATGGGTTTCCTGCTAAGCAGAGAGCCTGATGTGGGGTTCGATCCCAGAACCCTGGGATCATGACCTGAGCTGAAGGCAGAGGCTTTAACCCCCTGAGCCACCAAGGGACCCCTCCATAGTAAATTTTTACGTGCGAGGTCTTGGTGGATCTCGAGACAGAAGACACCTATCGCTCATGTGGAACCTGTCCTATTTGCGTGTGTCACCTCACACTTCCCTTTATATGCATTTTACGCACACACAGGGAGTATTTTTCAGCAAATGATGTGGAACCGAGAAAACCAGATTCTCTAATACTAGAGATGGGAGCTGTAGGCATACGTCCAAAGGCTGCGTTTTAATTTTTTCTGTATAGGGTATGTGTCTGTGTGAGTATGTCATCTCTCAGACAGTAACTGATTTTGGTGACATTTATTTCTGGTCCAGAATATATTTAAATTGCTTTCTATCTTACTCCCTCTGTTTCTATAGTAAAAACACTAATTGGTCATTTGAATGTTCATGTTCTTTTTCTTCCTTGATATACTTATATATGTAACAAATGTGCATCTCATTCTGCATCAGGAACTAATCTAAAAACTTTACAAATAATAATTTATTTATTCTTTATATCCATCCTATAAGGAAGAGAGTTTTATATTCATTTTCACAGGTAAAAACACTGAGACACAGTGAAGGTAGGCAACTTGTCCGAGATCACGTAGCCAGGGAAGAGTAGAGCCCAGCTGTCAGCTTCCAGAGTCTATGTGATTTGCTACACAATATTCCCTCAGACAAACCTACCTCTAATCTGGTTCTGGTCTGAAACAAAGCTTTAAACATAACTTGATATCTTGAAAAGGCTTGCCTCAGCACATTCCATTCTTCAGAAAAGTAAAGAAAAAGGACAGAAAGGTAAAGGATAAGGAAGATATAGAATGAGGAAGAGAAAAGTAATGGAGAAATGAGCAAACCAGCAGTGAAACTGAGCTCACATCCAACTTCCTAGCAAGTGATGCTGAGTTCCTGGTTAGCTGCCCCTTATGGGCCCACTGGACCCTCTGAAGCGCCTTCTTTAGTCCAGGAGGTGTTGGGGGGGCGGTGGTGTGAGTGTTCTTCAGAGGCCCAGAAAGGAGGAGCAACCCTTAAGGCTCCTGCCTCTCCCAATCAACACGTACCTTAGTTCCATAATGAGCCCAGGAGAAAAATGTCAATGAGCTCAAACAGCATTGAGGAACATTATCTCCAACTTGTGATGAGAGCCATAAACCCCCAAGAAACTGCATTGTCTAAGGTCTCACAACTAGAAAACAGCAGAGCCATGACTCAAAGGCAGGGTCATTTGACAACAAGGCTCTGTCATTTTCTCCTCCCTCACACTGGTCCATAAGTACCTGCCAGGGAACCCAGTGGCCCCAGTGACAGATATCTAGGCGATGGTAGCCATTCACTTCCTCTCTGACGCTCTTCTTCCTACTCCCCTCAGACCTCTGAACTTGTACCCCTCTATTATGCCATCTCTTTTCAAAGGATCCCAATAAGACTAGGAGGGAAAGGTATTATTAGACCATTTTGCAGATGATTATACAATAATTTTTTGTAATTTGACTGACAAATAATCCTACTAGAGTGTTTTAGAATTGAGCTTTTATTGTGTATTAAGGAAATCACTAGCTTCAAAATGAAAACAAGAGAGGTCAAGAATTTTGATTTGATGAAACTGGTGGCAGCTGCATGGTTTTTGCCAGTTGAGTAAAGGACAGGAGATACACTCACCAGTCAGGAACTCAGGGTCAGGGGTGGGCTCTGAAATTTCCTCCAGGCACTGATTCTCCAGGGGAACAGTGGCCACCACAAGACCATCTGGCAGTTGCTGGTCTAAACCTCGAGCAAAGTTGTTTTGTCTGGAAACAGAAGCAGATTTTCATTTCAGGGAGTTAAGGTGAACCCCACTCCTTGGTGGGCAAATCTACACCTCAACCAACAATAAAAAATTCTTCCTGGACCAAAGTTTCCCCTTCCACTGAACTCCACTTGATGGACATGTCTGCAGTAGGACAGGGTGTGAGAGGTAGGGTGAGGGCTAGGACAGATGAGAAAGAAACCAGCTGAAAAAGTCTGTTCAGAAGATTGAGAACATTCTTCCTTCCTGCCCATCTCAGGCCCTACTCCCTGATCCCCACTCCACAAGACTAGGCAGATGCAGTCTCATTTCTAGACTACAGAAAAAATTCTAGCTGCCATAAGATTAGTTACGACAACTTACTGCTTGTCACCAGCAAACGAAATCCTGGCCTTAAAGCGGAAATATTAGTAAAGTCTACTGTCTATAACAGAAACAACAACAGATGTCAAGAACAGGTTTGGAGGGGAGGAGAAAGATGGCAGAGGAGTAGGAGACCTAAATACCATCAGGTCCCAGGAGTTCAACTAGATAGTTATCAAACCATTCTGAACACCTACATACTCAACAGGAGATCGAAGAGAAGAGCAGCAATTCTAGGAACAGAAAACCGACCGCTTTCTGGAAGGTAGGATGTGTGGAGAAGTGAATCCAAGGCAGTACATGGGAAGGTAGACCATGGGGGAAGGGGCAGCTCCCAGCAAGCAGGAGAGCAGTGGAGGACAAAACTGGAATGTTTAGAAGTCAGCTCCACTGAGGAACATTGCTCCAGAGGCTAAGTGGGGGATGGAGCCCTCCCGGGGACAGTGTGGTTTCAGGACCCTCAGGGTCAAGGAAAGACCAGGGGTGTCTGAGTGTGGCAGAAATCTCAGGGATCAGAGCGGGGAAACTGGGAGCAGAGATGGAGCCGAGGATGGGGCTCTCAGCTAAGGGTTACCTTAACCCATAATCTGAGGGACAGTCGGGCCACTGTTCTTTGAGGAGGGACCCCACAAGTGGCAGACCCAGGAAAACCCCCCTCAGTCCTCCTACAGGAGGAGTGGTACGGGAGCAATGCAGGAATCTATGAGGTTTGGATACTCCAAACAGGGTTGTGTGCCAGAGATAGAAACACTCAGTCACAGGGCGGGTGAGCTTGGAGCGTGGCCGGAGGCCAGGGAGAGGGGAGGGATTGACCACTTTTCTCCGAGGGCGCACTAAGGAGTGGGGCTCCTGAGCTCTCCGCTCCTCTGGGCTGGAGACTGGGAGGCCACCATCTTCATTCCCATCCTCCAGAGCTCTACGGAAAGCATTCAGGGAACAAAAGCTCCTGAGAGCGAACCCAACCAGATTACTCAGCCTGCCTCCCAGCAAGGGCAGTGTAATCCCACCTCGGGCAAAAACATCTGAGAATCACTGCAACAGGCCCCTTCCCCAGAAGATCAGCAAGAACAACCAGCCAAGACCAAGTTCACTGATCAATGAAAACTGCAAAACTTAAGAGCTACGGAATACAGCACATAGAATTCATGGCTTTTTAATCATGATTCTTTAGTCTTTCAAAGTTAAATTTTTTTAATTTAATGTTTTTCTTATTCTATTTTTAAAAATTTTCCTCTTTCTTATTTTAATGTTTTTAAACTATTTTATCTTATCAATACCTCTATAAAATCCTTTATAAATACCTGTATATTTATAAATAAATATAAAATACCTTTATAAAATTTATAAAAATCTTTTTAAATATACATTGTTATAGTCATATACTGTCCCTTCATTGTATTTAAAGTTATTTTTTGTACATATATAGGCTTTCCTTTGTTTAAAATTTTAGGATACAGTTTCTTCTAACAGATCAAAATATACCCTAAATCTAGTGCATGGCCTTGTTCTACTCTCCAGCCTGATCACATTCTTTCTTCTTTCTTTTTTTCTTTTTTCAACCAATTTTTTACTTATCAATTCCTTTTTTAGAATCTTTTTAAAATTTCATCTTTGCAGTCATATTCCTTCCCTTCATTGTGTTTATCCTTATTTTTTTATGTGTGTGTGTGTGTGTGTGTGTGTATAGATATAGGTTTTTCTCTCTTTAAAATTTTGGGAGGCAGTTTCTTCTAACAGACCAAAATACACCCAGAACCAAGTGCGTGGCTCTGCTCTGTTCACATTCATATATATATACACACATATATATATGCATATATATATATATTTGGCCCCCCCCTTCCTTTCTTCTCCCCCCAGTTTTGGGTCTCCTCTCTCTTCTGATTTGGGTACTGTATATTTTTCTGGGGTCATTGTAACCCTTTTAGTTTTTTATTCTCTCAGTCTTCTATTCTTATCTCAATAAAATGACAAGGCAGAAAAACTCACCTCAAAAAAAAAAAAAAAAGAACAAAAGGCAGTACTGATGGCTAGGGACCTAATCAATAGGGTCAGATGTCAGAACTAGAATTCAGACTGATAATTATCAAGGTACAAGTTGGGCTCAAAAAAAGCATGGAAGATACTAGAGGTACCCATTCTGGAGAAATAAAAGAACTAAAATCTAATGAAGTTGAAATCAATAAATAAAACTATTAATGAGGTACGATCAAAAATGGAGGCTCTTACTGTTAGGATAAATGAGGTGGAAAAGAGAATTAGTTATATAGAAGACCAAATGATGGCGAATAAAGAAGCTGAGAAAAAGAGAGATAAGCAACTACTGAGGCATGAGGGGAGAATTCGAGAGATAAGTGATACCATAAGACAAAGCAATGTTAGAATAATTGGGATCCCAGAAGAAGAGTAAAAAGAGAGAGGGGCAGAAGGTATATTGGAGCAAATTATAGAAAAGAATTTCCCTAATTTGGTGAAGGGAACAAACATCAAAATCCAGGATGCACAGAGAACCACCCTTAAAATCAATAAAAATAGGTCAACATCCCATCATCTAATAGTAAAACTTTCAAGTCTCAGTGACAAAGAGAAAATCCTGGAAGCAGCTTGGGACAAGAGGTCTGTAACATATAACAGTAGAAATATTAAATTGGCAACAGACCTATCCATAGAGACCTGGCAGGCCAAAAAGGATTGGCATGATATATTCAGAGCACTAAATGAGAAAAATATGCAGCTAAGAATACTGTATCCAGCTAGGCTGTCCTTGAAAATAGAAAGAGAGATAAAAAGCTTTTAGGACAAACAAAAATTAAAGAATCTGCAAACACCCAACCAGCCCTCCAGGAAATATTGAAAGAGGTCCTCAAAGCAAAGAGAGAGCCTAAAAGTAACAGACCAGAAAGGAACAGAGACAATAGACAGTAACAGTCACCTTAGAGGCAATATATAATGGCACTAAACTCATATCTTTCAGTAGTTACCCTGAAGGTAAAAGGGCTAAATGCCCCAATCAAAAGACACAGGGTATCAGAATGGATAAAAAAAATAAGACCCATTGATATGCTGTCTGCAAGAAACTAATTTTAGACCCAAAGACACCTCCAGATTTAAAGTGATGGGGTGGAAAACAATTTACCATGCTAATGGACATCAAAAGAAAGCTGGGATGGCAATCCTTATATCAGACAAATTAGATTTTAAGCCGAAGATTGTAATAAGAGATGAGGAAGGACACTATATCATACTTAAAGCGTCTGTCCAACAAGAAGATCTAACAATTTTAAATATCTATGTCCCTAACATGGGAGGAGCCAATTATATAAAACAATTAATAACAAAATCAAAGAAACACATCAACAATAAAGCAATAATAGTAGGGGATTTTAACACCCTCCTCACTGAAATGGACAGATCATCCAAGCAAAAGATCAACAAGGACATAAAGGCCTTAAATGACACACTGGACCAGATGGACATCACAGATATATACAGAACATTCCATCCCAAAGCAACAGAATACACATTCTTCTCTAGTGCACATGGAACATTCTCCAAAAGAGATCACATCCTGGGTCACAAGTCAGGTTTCAACCAGTACCAAAAGATTGGAATCATTCCCTGTATACTTTCAGACCACAATGCTTTGGAACTAGAACTTAATCACAAGAGGAAAGTTGTAAAGAACTCAAACACATGGAGGCCAAACAGCATCCTACTAAAGAATGAATGGGTCAACCAGGAAATTAAAGAGGGATTGAAAAAATTCATGGAAACAAATGATAATGAAAACACAACTGTTTAAAATCTTTGGGACACAGCAAAGGCAGTCCTGAGAGGGAAGTAGAGAGCAATACAAGCCTTTCTCAAGAAACAAGAAAGGTCTCAAGTATACAACCTAAACTTAACATCTAAAGGAGCTGGAAAAAGAACAGCAAAGAAAGCCTAAACCTAGCAAGAGAAGAGAAATCATAAAGATCAGAGCAGAAATCAATGAAATAGAAACCAAAAGAACAAGAGAACAAATCAACGAAACTGGGTTCCTTGAAAGAATAAATAAGACTGATAAACTCCTGGCCAGACTTATCAAAAAGAAGAGAAAGGACCCAAATTAAGAAAATCATGAATGAAAGAGGAGAGATCACAACCAACACCAAAGAAATACAATTATAAGAACATATTAGGAGCAACTATACTCCAGCAAATTTGACAATCTGGAAGAAATGGATGCATTCCTAGAGGCATATAAACTACGATAAGGGAACCAGAAAGAAATAGAAGACCTGAACACACCCGTAACCAGTAAGGAGATTGCAGCAGTCATCAAAAATCTCCCAACAAACAAAAGCCCAGAGCTAGACGGCTTCCTAGGGAATTCCACCAAACATTTAAAGAAGAATTCATATTTATTCTCCTGAAACTGGTCCAAAAAATATAAGTGGAAGGCAAACTTCCAAACTCATTTTATGAGGCCAGCATGACCTTGATCCAAAAATCAAAGACCCCATCAAAAAGGAGAATTACAGACCAATGTCCTTAATGAACACAGATGCAAAAATTCTCACCAAAATACTAGCCAATAGGATCCAACAGTACATTTAAAGGATTATTCACAACAACCAAATGGGATTTATTCCTGGGCTGCAAGCGTGGTTTATCATTCCAAAATCAATCAATGTGTTACAATACATTAATAAAAGAAAGAACAAGAACCATATGATACTCTCAGTAGATGCTGAAAAAGCATTTGACAAAGTATAGCATCCTTTCTTGATCAAAACTCTTCACAGGGTAGGGATAGAAGGTACATACCTCAATATCATAAAAATCATCTATGAAAAACCCACAGTGAATATCATTCTCAATGGGGAAAAACTGAGAGTTTTCCCCAAAGTCAGGAACACGGCAGGGATGTCCATTACCACCACGGCTATTCAACATAGTACTAGACGTCCTAGCCTCAGCAGTCAGACAACAAAAAGAAATTAAAAGCATCTGAATCAGCAAAGAAGAAGTCAAACTCTCACTCCTTGCAGATGATATGATACTTTATGTGGAAAACCCAAAAGACTCCATTCCAAAACTGCTAGTACTCACACAGGAATTCAATAAAGTGTCAGGATGTAAAATCAATGCACAGAAATCAATTACATTTCTATACATCAACAGCAAGACAGAAGAAAGAGAAATTAAGGAGTCGATACAATTGCACCCAAAACCATAAGTTACCTAGGAATAAGCCTAACCAAAAAGGCGAAGAGTCTGTTCTCAGAAAACTATAAAGTACTCATGAGCGAAATTGAGAAAGACATGAAGAAATGGAAAAATATTCCATGCTCATGGATTGGAAGAACAAATAGTGTGAAAATGTCTATGCTACCTAAAGCAATCTACACATTTAATGCAATCCCTATCAAAATACCATCCATTTTTTTCAAAGAAATGGAACAAATAATCCTAAAATTTATATGGAACCAGAAAAGACCCCAAATACCAGAGGAATGTTGAAAAAGAAAACCAAAGTTGACAGCATCACAATTCCAGACTTCAAGCTCTATTACAAAGCTGTCATCCTCAAGACAGTATGGTACTGGCACAAAAACAGACACATAGATCAATGGAACAGAAGAGAGAGCCCAGAAATGGACCTTCAACTCTATGGTCAACTATTCTTCAACAAAGCAGGAAAGAATGTCCAATGGAAAAAAGACAGTCTTTTCCACAAATGGTGTTGGGAAAATTGGACAGCCATGTGCAGAAGAATGAAACTGGACCATTTTCTTACACTACACCTAAAAATAGACTCAAAATGGATGAAAGACCTCAACATGAGACAGGAATCCATCAAAATCCTTGAGGACAACACAGGCAGCAACCTCTTTGACCTCAGCCGCAGCAACTTCTTTCTAGAAACTTTGCCAAAGGCAAGGGAAGCAAGGGCAAAAAATGAACCACTGGGACTTCATCAAGATCTAAAGCTTTTTTGTACAGGAAATGAAAGAGGTAACAAAACCAAAAGACAACTGACAGAATGGGAAAAGACATTTGCAAATGACCTATCAGATGAAGGGCTAGTATCCAAAACTAAAAAGAGCTTATCAAACCCAATACCCAGAGAACAAATAATCCAGTCAAGAAATGGAAGAAGACATGAACAGACATTTCTGCAAAGAAAACATCCAAATGGCCAAAAGACACATGAAAAAGTGCTCAACATCACATGGGATCAGGGAAATACTAACCAAAACCACAATGAGATACCACCTCACACCAGTCAGAATGGCTAAAATTAACAAGTCAGGAAATGACAGACGCTGGCGAGGATGCAGAGAAACGGGAACCCTCCTACACTGTTGGTGGGAATGCAAGCTGATCCAGCCACTCTGGAAAACAGCATGAAGATTCCTCAAAAAGTTAAAAATAGAGCTCTGCCATGACCCAGCAATCGCACTACTGGGTATTCACTCTAAAGATACAAAATGTAGTGATCCAAAGGGCACATGCACCTGAATGTTCATAGCAACAATGTCCACAATAGCCAAACTATGGAAAGAACCTAGATGTCCATCAACAGATGAATGGATAAAGAAGATGTGGTATATATACACAATGGAATACTATGCAGCCATCAAAAAATGAAATCTTGCCACTTACAACAATGTAGATGGAACTAGAGGGTATTATGCTAAGTGAAATAAGTCAATCAGAGAAAGACAATTATCATATGATCTCTCTGATATGACGGTTTGAGAGGCAAGGCGGGATGTCATGGGGGCAGGGAGGGAAAAATGAAACAAGATGGGATCAGGAGGGAGACAAACCACAAGAGTCTCTTAATCTCAGGAAACAAACTGACGGTTGCTGGGAGTGGGGGTGGTGGGAGGAATAGTGTGGCTGGGTTATGGACATTGGGGAAGGTATGTGCTATGGTGAGTGCTGTGAATTGTATAAGACTGATGAATCACAGACCTGTACCCCTGGGGCAAATAATATATTATATGTTATAAAAAAATAGGAACAGGCTTGAATAGTTAATATGGGTTTGCTCATAGGAGTCCAGGCCTAGGTTGCTATCAGTTGCTGGCCTGTCTTATGACATCTCTTCCTCCTCCTTTTCCTCTCTGTCATCATCATTGTCTCCTGGAAAGCATGAGTTCTGAGGAAGATGTACTCTAATAGCCCAAGAGGGAATAGGCACAGGGGTCAAATGGAGAATTTCCAAGAAATACTCTGAATCTATGGCTCCGAACATTTTGTTCTCAGGACCCCTTTATAGTTTTAAAAATAAATGAGCCTCCAAGTAGCTATTGTTTATATGGATTCTATCTGTCCATATTTGCCATATTAGAAATTCAATGAGATATTTTAGAAATATGTATTAGTCCATCTAAAAATGTCAATAATCACCCTATTAGATCTGAACTTATTATGAAAAATGATAAGAATGTTTTTATATTTTTTTTGCAATTTTTTAAACTAGCTGACTTACTAGAAGATAGCTGGATTCTCACCTCTGCAAAACCCAGCCTCTCTGTGGGTGGAAAAGGCCTGACCTTGAAAATCCCCCGAAAGGATCTCAGGGATGGCCAGGATCCATGGGCCGTACTTGAGGGCTGCTATTCTAGACTGACTCACACCCTGATTTTTCCACTCAGGGCAAAACAGAATCTCTCTCGTGGCTTCCATGGAAAATCTTGCAGTCCCCACCTGGGCAAGAGAGAAATTTATTGAACACTCTGCTGTTCACCCAGAGGAAGTATGGGTTCTGGAAAGAGAAGAAGACCATGGGAGAGAACACAACCTGTCCTTTTAGGATCCTGTTCACCTTGCTCCAAGCTGCAAAGCTGACTTTAAAGCTCTTCAGGGAAGAAGATCCATCAGTCGCCCTGAGTAACCAGTTCCAGACACGAAATTCACCTGAATGTTCCTTTCAGCACTTGTCCTGCAGCCACTTCCTTGGAATGGTTGTTGTAACCAAAGAACATCTCCCCAAAGAGGGTCTGGTTCATGGGAACCTCCCTGCTTTCTCCACAGTCTCCTCCCTCCGGGCAGGTCTCCGTGATGAGTTGGCAAGAGCGACCATCCACACCGAGCTTGTAATCCTCGATGCACCTAACACGGTAGGAAACTCAAGATAAAAAGTTGTTCCATCAATGAGCTATGTAGTCAACTCAACCCAACAGATTGGGAAGAAACACCTCTGGTAGAGTGTTGGGTATAAAGATCATAAGTATCCCAGTTTGATTTTGCCCCCTTTAGAACTCAGCTTCTTATGCCTGCAAACTGAGTCCCCTTCCATTATGTGACCGTACAGAGCCTCTCACCTTTCCTCTGCAGGTAAGTGCTTTGAGGCCTCTGGAGGGCTTCCTCCTCTAAGTGGACCCTCTCCTAGATAGGTCAGGGTAAGAGTCACTGGAGATAAGCTTCTAAGTGAGTTACCACATTAAAATCTGAGATATCCTAGAACCTTTCTCCAGGACCATCTATGCATTTGTTTGGAGGGTAATTAGGCAGTAAGAGGAATGACACTGTGCTTAAGAAATTAATAACCTTCTAATCCTGTCCTATGACAAGTGAACTAAGAAATTAGAAAGATGGATCATCTTCTGACTGTGTTCTCTTTGAGTATATCCAAGAACAAGATCATCCCGTTTTAACTCCCCCTCCATTCAGAATAGCCTTCCTGAACTAAAGAGACACTAGGGCATGCTGTGTGAACACCTCCTTGGCGTCCCTCCCCATTATGATGTACAGTTACTCTAATGGAAGAACAATGCTGATGTTGGTAAACATGGCTCAATGACCCATAAGTCATTAATTGGACCTTATCTGTAGTTATATTGAGAAGAATATAATTTGTTAGTTCAAGAACTACTTTGAGAAACCTGTCATTTAAAAAGCATATTAATTTCATGTGGGTCTCTCCTTAAACTATACCAGATTTAGAATTTATAGATGCTTGTGACATTAAAACACATCATTTATTACTATCCACGGTAATTGTTGTAACAAGATAAAGACCTCTCTTCTATAAGAAGGAACAAATAAATAATCATAGTGTTAAGTGGTGAGAAGCAGTGATGTTGCCCTTTATTGGGGGACCTTGGGTCAGCTGATGAAACTCACTGAGTTTCAGTTACCACATCTGTAAAAGGTGGGGGGTGGAGGGGAGCTGCTTTGCAGAGTTGTTGAGAAGCTCCCGTGAGACAACTAACTTAGGGAACTCACAGCGTCCCCGGCAAACAGCAAATACTCATCAAATCCTATCGTCATTACCAGCAGAGGGACAAATGAGGTCCATGTTCCTGAAACTTCAACTGTTTGTATTCCCCCATTTACCACTTATGTATTTGTGTTAACAGGCATGACTAGAACTCTTGAATCATAAGTGCAAGTGATTTAGGCTTTACATAAAAATGGGAAGGAACTCTTTTGGCAAGCTATCTACAGTGGCTTGGAGGGTGCTAAATTCCCACTCATACCGAATTCCAACTGAAATAATAAAGAAAGTCCAGTGAGGAACCTACCTAATTTGTGCTGACCATGGATGTCACGTGAGACCCACAAAGGACTCTGTGACACCAGCCCCAGTCTGGAAGGAGATAGTGAATTGGCTCCTTCCCGGAGCCAAACTTACTGTTTCTGCAAAGAACTGTGAAGCTGGCTGACTCCCTCTCAGTCCCTCCTGAGCGTCCTGACCGCACCCCCCTTCCACACTGCCCCACACTCATCTTCTTCTTGATGTTCCTATGTGTGTCCCACTGTAAACTCCTTTGAGGGCAGAGGACAGGCTCGTATCCTGCTGTCTCTCCTGTACCTAACACCTAACTAGATTCTCTGCACAGACCAGGTGCTCAGATGTACGGTAAATAAAGAATTTAGGAATTTATCTCTATTAATTGAAGTGAGTCAACCATGGTAACATCACAGAGATGTTCAAATTTAGATCAAGCTTTCATTAATGGACTGGGGTCTTATAAGAAAGTGAAGGTAAAAACTGCCAACTGAAAAGAAATAAAATACCATGAAATACAGTAAAATAACATTACCCCTCCACTCAATTTTCTTGTCATGATTATTGGGTAGGCACTGGATTTTAGCGACAGAGCTAAAGTAGCAGAACTGTATTATTATAAACATGGATTTTCATTGCAAGCTTCTTAGAGTAGGAGATCCTTGAGGGCGAGAACTACACGTCATTGATCTGTGTTGCCCAGGGTCTGAAATGGTGTAGAGCATAAAGTATGTGCCTTCCCTGACAGGCAGGAAGACAGAAGTGGGGGAACGGAGGCAGGGAAGGAGTGGGAGAGAGCAGAAGGGAAGGGGAGGGAAGGACAGACAAGCAAACTATGAGAGTATAAGGATGAGCCAAACTGCTATTTACTTTGTAAATATAACATGAAACGGTCTTTAAATAGAATTCTAGTCAGAGGTATAAATTTAAATTTTGAGGGAATCACAGATTTAAAAAAAAAAAAAAAACAGAAAGTGCCTGAATTCTAATCCTAATCTTTCCACTTACCAGCTCCCAGTCTTGAGGGAGCTACTTAACCACCCTGTGGAGGAACTGCATTGAAGAATTAGCATGTCTGTGGGAGGGTGCCCCTGAAGGCTCAGGGGTAGAATTCAATGATGTTTCCACTCCTCCAAAGATTTCCCCCTCCCCTTCTTTGATAATTAATTCGTTTTTATACAATCCTTCTGCGAGTCTTTGGACCACGGAATCCTGTCATCACAAGACAAAATAATATAGTTCCACAGAACAGTCTGGAAAGTTCTGGTGTATGCAGGCAATGACTGTGGTCAGGTTCCTCTCCCACGGGGACGGGGCTAGCCTTTCCCTGTAGGTCCTCCCAACTCTGATTTTAAAAGTGGGGCTCTTCCAGCCCCGCAGGATCTTTCCTCAGAGCCTCAGGGTTGGCTTAGGGTGACTAAGCCTTGTGGTTTTAACACTGAATGTTCAGCACCCCAGAAAGCTGGTTGGCCTCATGGGCAGTTCAACTCACCCACAGAACATGAGGATGTTGTACAAGGTGGGGTCATCCGGGAAGGGCGCCATCTGCTGGAGACACAGCTGCTCACAGCCGCCATTGAAGCCATCTGAGCAGTCCACCCCAATGTGGCGGTCATAGCAGCCAGAGCTGTCCTTCATGGGGCTCAGTCCGGACGGGCACTGGCACAATCAAAAAGCATCCACGCAGGGAGGTGAATCAAGGGACTGGGTTCTCGGGGAACCGTAACCACTGACGCCTATTTTTAGCACTCAGCCTTGAAACCATTAACATTGACAACTAATGCACGAATTTCCCACTATGCTGGACTCCCTTGAAAAGTGACCTTTTTGACATCTCCCTTCTCTCTGGGCACAGAGCACATGCATTTGCATTAAAGCCACTGCCTCCAAACAGGCTGGAAGGGAAAGTCACAGCAACACAGAGGGAGGTGTGCTGGCTTCCCAGTTGGGTGGAGGTGGTGGGCCAGAATTGAACAACATTAACAGAGACTTCTTTGGAGTAAGGGGAGGGAGTATTGCTGTTTGCACTTAATATTAATAGGACTTTTCTTTTAACCTCAAACACGTTGCCAGCATTGGTACTAGACAGCCAACAGGGTTCAGGAATGGACAGAGCCAGGGCTTCCAGCTGGAAGGAGGAAGATTTCCTTTATGACCTGATGTGGGGGTTTGCCTGCTCTCCTGGTAGAAGTGGCCATACTCATGACCTCCTCGCCTCGAGGACGCCCCGCGGAAGACGCAAGATAAGGGCATCTGCTACATGAGCACCCATGGGTGCTGTGCTTGGGTTTGGGTTTATCCCAGTGTCCTGGACACTCTTACTGTGAAAGGATTTGTTTCTCTGCATTGCTATGTCCTCAGTAAACTACCCAGGAGTGCCAGCAAAGAAGATGATCCAGGAAGAGATGTCAGCCAGAATCCAGGGAAGACAAAGGGGCTTGGTGAACGGGGGAGCACTCCTACAGCCCCCATCCTGCCCTGCGTCAAACTCATCCATCCTACTCTTTCAGCCTTTGCAACATCCCCTACCGTATGGGGTATGCTAAGCCCCAAGTGACGTCAAGCAACAGCGGCCCCAGAAAACATAACTTTGTGGGAGTCCCCCCACTGATCACAATAGGACCACACCCAAAACCTGGCAGGCTGGCTGCGTCCATGAACGGGCTGGCCCATCACTAGCTTACATCACGATCAGCCTCTCACATGACAGCCACTGTTCACTGAGCACTTAGTAGGAGCTGGGCATCACGCAGGTGGCACCCTGTATTAGCCTCATTTAACAACTGTGGGAACCACTAACACTGCCAATTACTGTGCGAATTCACTGCACTGGAGTCCCACCAAGTAAGTCAAAGAATATTCTTTGCCTTCTTGCTTCTTCTGTCTGGTCAGTGGATCCTTACATCTGTGCTACAGCAGGTCCTTCTACACAGGCTGCAAGAGGGCTAGTGACTTGCCCAGGGTCAAGCAGCTAGTATGGGGCAGAGCTGGGGGTCTGTCTAGATCTGACCTGCTTTTAATGACTATGCTCTATCCACACACTCTCAGCTCATTAACACTCCCCCCACCCAAGCCAAAACCAAACCAAAAATAACATTCAAGACTTGGTGGAACTGGGTGTCCCTCCCCCTTCCCCCCTCCTCCCCCACTCCACAGCCTGGCTGTTTCTCCCAACTGCCAAGCGTCTTGGCTCCAGTAGCCCGGAGCTGCCACAGGTGTGCCCCAGAAAAGACACCTCCCCTCCCCCCAAGATCACAGCAGGATGTGCACTGCTTGATGACACTAATTCTGCAATTTCCCAAACAAATGGCCCCTCTGTGGGCCCGCCAGCCTCCCAGGCTGCTCTGTCCCCTTCCTCTGCAGGAAGCCAGCTGGAAGGCTGGAAGGTGAGGGCATATAAGTTGCTTCCAAGGGCTGCCCCCTGCGGTGCAAACCCAGATGTTCCAGAAGATGGTAAACAAGCAAATGAGGTGGCAGAGGCTGGCCCCCCACGTTTTGTTACCGCCCCCACCCATCCACTTCCTTGGCCAACCAGCTGGTCGGCCAGATGTGCCACCAGAAGGGAGCTAGCTTCACCACTGTGCGGCTGCCCAGGCATGGAAGTGGAAGTTTGATTGGAATTAAATGGGCTGCCCTGGTTGCCACGAGTTGTTTTTCTTTCTTCCCTTCTATAAAGCTTGAGAAAAGCCATCAAAGTAGAGACGACGCCAGTCCTCCCACTTCACGTGGTTTCAACCCTGGCCTTGGCGCGTGCCCCAGCGGGGACGCCCATCTTCCTAGCCACCTGCTTTTTTCCCACAATGCTCCATCAAGCATGATTTCTGACAAAGACTTCACCAAATAAAACCCAGGCGGGCTTTGTTCCAGAATTCTAAAGCTTGGCATAGCCGCCTCTTGCCTGGCTCTGATGTGTAGATGCCCACTGCTATGCCAAATTGGACCACCTGGCATTTACATTCTCTTAAGAGATCTGGAAAGAAAAGGGTTAGCGGCCTTGCCCTAGACACTTGATTGATTGATTGATTGATTGGGTGGTTGTTCTTACAAGCAAAGCTAGAATAATTATAACCACTGTCAGGAACGAAGCCATTCTATGTGCGGGACAAACTATGTGTGTTATTGTCCATGGCAAAGATACAGATGGACTTTTTTCACCTCGTTTTACAGAGGAATAAACTTAGATTAAGTAGTAACTGGTTTAAGGTCACAGAGGTGGGAAATGGCAGAATCTGATTTTAGACCTAGGTCTCTTGGACCCCAAAACTCAGGTCTGTCTCTCCTCCTCTGCTGTGCTGCTTCTCAAATGTGAGAAAACGTGGATTCACTGGAATCCTTAAAGAAATAGAGTTCATTCAATATGCCAACAGGTAAAGCAATCCTGTAGACTGGTTGGTTGGTTGATTGTTTTGAGGAGCTCCGAGTACATTCTGGGCTCAATTATGAATTTGTAGGTTAGCCTAATATTCTCTATTTCTCTTTCTTTCTTTCTGTGTCTCTCTCACTCCCCCGTGTCTCTCTCTCTCTCTCTCTCACACACACACACACACACACACACACACTATATTAGGGACACATATACTTATAAGGCAAAAACACTCTAAATGTCCAGAGCGATGACCCTGAAGACAAGACAAGATCCTTAATCACTGAAAAAGACATAATTATCTTCACTGCACTATAACTTACTTGGTCTGCAGTTCAGAGAAAAATATTTTTGAAAGATTTCCAGGAAAAAGAAGGCTGAAACCGAAAAATAGTTTTCTTCTCAACCCTGGTTCAACTAGTACACCCATTCTCCAAGGGGTCTGATCAATCAAGCTTCCCACAGTGTAGGTTTGTTTTTGTTTTCGCCTACATGTTCCTTGCACTGTTGTGTTCACATTCTGGCCTCCTCAAAACCTGAATCTAAATACAAAGAAAACCACAGGCTCCAAACCATGCCTTCTTCTTAGAAGTATTTGCGGCCAGAGACCAGTTGTCAGGAGAGAAATCCTATCTCCAGGAGGAGCTGGCATTTTCTCTTTGCAAATGCTGGCCATTCTCATCTCCTGGCTTGTGGATAATCTCTTTACTTGTTCCTTAAAAGAGAACTGTTGGCTCAGGATTGAGCCCCATGGTCATACATTAACCACTCTTCGAATAGGTTACATTTCACAGTCCCAGAGCCTTTATAAACTACAGGCTTAAAAAGAACACTCCGTTTATGGCAACAACCCTCCCCCATCAGGAAGGTCTAATAAATGAGCTCATATTTTACTGACCCCTAAAATACACAAGGTTAATCATCTTTCATGAGACGCTCATGGCTTCTTGACTTATTACTGGGCTAAACCATCATTGGCTAATGAGATTAAAATGATTTCCCCCCATTCAACTCCTTTTCTTCACTGTCTCTCCCCTCTTTTGCTACCAATAATTTTGGGTTGATTGATTACTTGGGAGTCTAGTCAAATCTCACTAAGCCTGAGACACACACCCTTCTGTTCCAGATTACGAGGCGGATGCCCTGTTGGCAGATGAATATGAGTGATGGGCAATGAGCATGTTTGGGGTTCCTGGAAGAAGAGGGACACCTTCCTGCAGCTAAGCCAGACTTGCCTCACCAGGATAATTCGTTAAGACAGTCAACCACAACGCTTACACAAAACAAGCTCCCTTTCACTACATGGTGATCTCCCTGCTACAAATAATGACTTCCCTGACTTTCTGATGGGCTCTGACATACAAGCTTCCCAAGGGGAAAGTTTGATGAAATTAAATTTATGTTTCAGCTTCCTGCCCCCATTTCTCTGAACGCCTCTGAGGCATATGCTTCTGCTTACTGTCCTACAGAGAGAAAGAGATACTGTCTTCTCTAACAGTCTCTGCACATATGCGCTCCAGTAGAGGTGAAATGACACATTTCATGGGAAACCATTGTGGACAGCATGTGGACAGAAGGGCAGCAGGGTCACTGGGTAATTCAAAGCTCATTAGAGCGTAATGCTCTGGCAGGAAAGGTCACGTGTTCATTACATGAGAAAGCGGGACAGCCAACCTCTTGCCTTCCAAGGCCATGGTCTGCTCACCTAAACACACACAGAAAGCGCACAAAGCAGAGGCAACTTTTGGCCACTTTCAGGATGAGTGTGAAGACAAGGAAGGAGCAGTAGAGCATGGGCTTTCCATTATTTGATAGCATTGGAAATAACTTTTGAACCTTCTAAGTTTTAACTTAAACCTCAATAGGTATAGGCTTGATGAGAATCAGGGTGCCCTGGTTCAAGCTGGGAGTGGGGACTAGCGTCCTGCCTACCAAGTCTGTTCCAACCCCACTGCCATCTCCCACTTTGGTCCCCAAGGATGTCAACAATATGACCTCCGGAGCCCATGAACATGTCACCTTACATGACAGAAGGGGCTTGGCAAGTCAGGTTGAGATGGGGAGATTATCCTGGATTATCCAGGGGGAACCAACATCATCACAAGAGTCCTTAAAAGTGGATGAGGAGAGTAGAAGATCAGAGAGCATGAACCACAGAAGAATGGCTAGAAAAATGCAATGGAGCTGGCTTTAAAGATGCGAGAAGGGGACCATGAGCCAAAACCTGAGAGCAGACTCTAGAAGCTAGAAAAGACAAGGCAATTGATTCTCCCCTGGAGCCTCCAGAAAGGAATAATGCCCCCCACCCCCACCCCCACCCCCACCCCATACGTGATTTTAGCCCAGTGAGACCCGTGTTGGAGTCTCACCTACAGAGCTGTAAGGTAATACATAAGCATTGTTTGAAGGCACGAAAAACCCATGGTCATTTGTTACAGCAGCAACAGGACACTAACACGGTAATGCTACGGGACCACAGGGAACTTCACAGAACGCAGAACTCCTGCTTTTGCGCTCTCCAGGGAGGGCCTCCTACTCCCATCCTGGCACAGTAAGGACAATGGGTAGAAGCAAGATCCAAGTTAGCAGCAGTGGGCGGCTGACCTCTGCTCTGGAAACCCTCCCCAAATTTTTGACAATCCCTGCTCTGAGAGAGTGGTCTGCTTTAGGACAGAGCGACTGTGGCTTCTACAGGTCTGTGCCTTTCACGGGCATTTGTTTCCTGTCCTCAGAGACAACATAAACAATAGGGCAATTAACTGGGTAGCAATTAACCCTGTGGGAGTCCATGCATAACCGAGAAACGAAACGTGTCCTGCCTTCCTAGAAAGAATGAAGATTGAGCGGCCAGGGCTCGCCAGCCCCACCTGTCTGGCTGGCGTCCAATCCAGAAAACACGCGGGTGCTTCCTCTTGTCCCACATCTCTGCTGCTTTCCCAGGTTCCTTAAAGGCCAGGGGGTTCTGAGTTCTCATTTCTTTCTCCTTTCATGAAAGTACACCTTTCCTGAGAAGGCTTTCAGTTCAGCACCCAGAGAACTAACTGAAGATCAGGGTTTCTTTTCCACCATAGTCCAATGCTCCCAGACACCAGTTTGGTGCCAGGTCCTTGGCTATCCCTGATCCACCTCCAGAGGACCTGGGACCGCTGTGCTAATGCAGCAGGGGTCTGGGACTGTCCTGTCCTGTCCAGCTCAGCTCAGCATGAGGTCCCCGATCTGCTTCTCAAGATGACCCCAAGGGTCGGGACGGGGCACATCAGCTCTCCACTATCAGTCTTCCTGTCTCAGGAATCACAGGCTTTATGGTCAAGGAGAAACAATCAGCTGAATGGTCCCCTCCTTCCTCCAGCCGCCACTGTGGACCAGTGATCTCACAGTGTTATGCTAACCCCAAGGACCGGTCTAGCTGGGTGACGTTCTGCAGCGGCTCCGATTCTAAAACGCAGCGGCCTTATTGCAAATGCATATTCATCGGAACTATTCCTGCTCGCTCTGTCTCACAGATTACAGTGCTAAAAGTACAAAAATATGCCAGCAAGGCGACATGCCAAGTAAAAGGGGCTAGGATCACCGACAGAAGGCACTTGACAGGCAACCCTCCGGGGCTCGGGAATGGGGCAGGGAGGTGGGAGGAGACAGAGAGCGTATGAAGGCGTGAGCACGTTCAAATTCATCCAGGACCCGCCAGGATGCGGGGGCGGGATCCACGCATGTGCACACGCAGTGTTTCCGTACTCGGAATGACCCGAGAGAGTAGCGAGGAATGAAAGGTTGAAATCTGAGTGAAGAAATGCAGGATGAACAGGAGGGGTAAAATGTGTCTCAGCTGGAGGCTCCATTAGCCAGTGAAATTGTCTCCTGCGGGACGCGGCCGGGAAGCTACTTGTGTAAGACATCTGAAAGTGGACCGGCCAAAGGGAGGGGAGCGCTGTGGGATGTCACCTTACCTCCCGGCTGCTTCCGGAAGACAGAACCTACAGAATGTTTTTCTTTGTCCTTTCCTGATGGTCCTCTGTTCTGCTTTCCCTTCCTTTGATGGACCAGCCAGGTCTCCGCCTACCTGCCCTCCGCACTCTGCCTATTCTTTCCTTCACTTTCCGTCCTTCCTCAGATAAATCAAGCTCCTGTCGGCAGCTGCCGGATCTGTGAATGTCTGGGGAGGCTGAGAGAGTCCCCCGCCCACCCCAGACCCCAGGCACTCATCCATCTTTGATGGAGCACAGCTCCAGGGACAGAGCAGGTGCTCAGAGACCGGGAAGGGGGTGTGTGAAAGATGGACTGGCCCAGCCTCCTCACAGCTTGCTCTGCTCGGGGTCCCTGTACCAGAGCACAGCTGTCACACCGGGAAACGGGAGGAGGCTCATGGCCCTTCCCCAGAAACACTGCAGAACCACGCGTCTCAATGAACCACATCCTTGATGCCCACTTGATGTCTGGGTTTGCTGCCTTCCTTCTTTGTCCTCGCCTCTCTGTGAGGATTGCATCATTCTGCCCTTAAAAGAAGGGAGGGCTGGTGAAAGACCATGGTGTTGAGGGACACAAAACTTGCCAACAGAAAAGCACGGGCAGCTGATGACGTCATCTACTCCTGCCTCCCTTAACCTGCGGGGTTTGGTCACTCCTCATCCATGGTGCAGGAGCGACCTTAGCATACTCTCAACCAACTGGCCTTCCTGGGTCCTAGCATCACATATCTTACACGTAGCCACAGTTCCCATAGCTGATAACAAAGTAGAAAACCACCTTCAGCAAGTCGGAGTTCATGGCCAGGGTCTCAAAGGAGACATATTTTTATTTTTCTCCTCCATTCCTGGAGTAACTTCCTTCTTCCATCATTCTGGCCTTAGGTAGGTTTCTCCCCAAATCTCCTACTACAGCGACTCGACCCAAAGGTAGAATTCCCTGTTGCAGGCAATACAGTCGAATTCCTATCAGAGTCCGTGTCATACTATTCAGTAGTTAATTACTTCTTGAATTGTTTGGGGCATCCCTCACCAGTGAGGCTGTAACACTGGAAACAAAGAATCCTGCTATATAATTCATGAAATTTCCCTAGGATAGTGACAGGACACGCGGTAGGTGCTCCATAAATATTTCTTGATTAACTGACTGGTGATTAGCTTCTCATCTCTGTTAAGAAAAAATTCATGTTTGTTTATTTATTTATTACGATTTTATTTATTTACTGGGGGTGGGGGAGCATGCCCAAAAGTAGGGGGAGGGGCGGGGAGGGAGAAGCAGACTCCCCGCTGAGCAGGGAGCCAGACGGGGGGCTTGATCCCAGGACCCTGAGATCACGACCTGAGCCAAAGGCAGACGCTTAACCAACTGAGCCACCTGGGGCCCTTTATTTTCTATCTATCTATTTATTTATTTTAGGGTGCGAGGTGGGGAGAGGGACAGAGGAGGAGAGAGAGAGAGAGAGAATCTGAAGCAGGCTCCATGCCCAATGCAGAGGGCCGATCACAACCCTGAGATCATGACCTGAGCGGATAACGAAAGTCAGCCACTTAACCGACTGAGCCACCCACATGCCCTGAAAAAATTCGTAATTTAGATTAGACAGTGGTGACAACCGGAGAGGGATCATTTTTTACTTTCTCTCCCTCTTTTTAGAGATTTTATTTTTAAATAACCTCTACACCCAATATGGGGCTCGAACTCACGACCCCGAGATCAAAGGGGCATGCTCTACCGACTGAGCCAACGAGGCTCCTTCTCTTTTATTCACAGTGTATTTCCATCTGTGTATCGGTATTATGTCTCACCCTGTGCTCCCCGCCCCCGTCTCCCCACCCCCACCCCCACCGATGGGGCGGACGTACCACGCAGCCGGTGGAGTCCAGCTTGCGGTCTGAGATGCAGCGGAAGTTCTTACTGCAGCCCCCGTTATCCTTGCTGCAGTCGCGCACTGGCCCAAAGGAATCCAGCAGAACCTCCAGGCTGTCAAAGGAGGACGAGGTCATCAGCTCCTCTCTGTGGGGAGACACGGAAGGGAGGGGGAAGGAGTCAAGGGGACTTCGGGCGCAACAAGTAGCATCACATTCCAAGTTTCTGTCTAGTCCACCGCGTCCGGTCTCGCTCTCGCTCCCAAGAAGTAAAGATCAGCCACACTCTGAGCCTTGAACTAACAAATTATGGACATTCTCCATATCTGGGAAATGAGCCAAGGCTGTAATGCCTGGTCAAAGAAGGAGGTCTAAACTTGGGCAAGGAAATTAACATTTTATTGCCTGTCAGTCCTTAGGGGATGTGGGAAGTGCTTACAAACTCTAATTTTATGTCCTCTCCCAAAGCAGGAGCCTTGGGGTGTGCAATATTGACCCAGATAGAGCAGATCCTGGCACGGCAAACTAGGAATCTGAAGGCAGCCTGCCAACTTCCCCTTTGAGTTCGTTGTGATTCCTACCCGAGCTCCTTGGGCCTTCAGGTGGTTCCTCACTCAGACCCCCACGCCACATGCGGCCTCGGCACCCCGGGCCCAGACGCACCTGACCTCCACAGCGTCCTCCATCACGGTCATGTCCGTCTTACACTTCGCGGAAGGGTTAATGGCTAGTTCAGCGGGCGGGATCACAAAGCTCTTGCTTAAGGGCAGCCACATGCCCTCCCCGAGGGTGTAGGTGAATCTGCAGTGACACCCAACACCAGGGGGTTACGGCTGGGGGACCAGCACCCTGTTGGAGGACCTGGCCTCCTGCTGTCAGGGGCTCCCTGCTGAGCCCTCACCGCCTCTGCAGAAAAGGGAGCTGACCACCATTCCATGGACAAGACGACTGATTCCGAGGGAGGCCCAGAGGCCTACTCTTGTGTACCTGCCCAGCCCGCTGGGGGAGCTGTTGATGGCACGGGCTCACCAGTGGAGGTGGTTTTTAACAAACCCTAAGAAATCCAATTCCAGTTTCCTTCAGATGGGAAGCTGGGCTTCCTCAATCCGAAATCAGATATAATTGGAAGCATTTGAATTGAAGAGACAGGCGGGCCTCCCACCATCCCCATCCCTCGAACAGCACACTCACCATGGTAGTGATGGCTTCTCTCTGCGCCTGGAGAAACCCCACCAAGGGAAAGGGGCTGGGGAGCTCCCATCCTCTGGTTATTGTATGATGAATACATAAACAACCGAAGCCAGGAGCCCCAGGGAGAGAAGAGGATGAAGAAGCCTGGATGTATTTTCTGCACTCCTACCCACACCCTCAGCTAATGGCAAGTAAACCTCCAGAGACACGGGAGGTTGTGGGTTTTTTTTTTTTTCTTAATTCTTATAATAGAGGCTAAAAGGAATAAAAGAATCAATCAGCATTTCAAGGAAGAGCTTAAAGAAACCATGAAAGATTATTTGTTTATTTATTCATTCATTCTATTTCAAAGGCATTCACATACTCTGTGTTCACAGTCAAAAATAGTCTATGGGATAAAAGCCAGTGTGGGTGGGATATCACAAGGCTGAGGCAGTCTGCGGCCCCTTCCAACTTTAATGCAGAGGGAGGAACAATTGAAGAATGCGTACAATTAAAAAGAACCCAGCCCTGGCTTCATCAGCATGCCGGTCACCGAGTACCACTTCAGAATCCTGCTCTTATCTCCCCCTTAACCCACCCACTCCCTTCTCCACTCCCTGGGGTTGCCGGAGAGGCTAGGAAACCAGACAGAGGGCATGAGATCTTTTATGAGAAATGTAGCACTCTGGAATGCTGGCCGCAGAGATACCCATGACCAAGGCTCGTGAGATTTTCACCCACTCCCTGAATGACAGCCCTAGGAGCTAACACGGCTGAAAGAAAAGAAGGCAGGTGCCCAGGGGAGAGGTAAAACCACTGAGCAAGTGGTCGATGGCCCGGATTTGGGAGATGGCCCCCTACTTCTCTGACCTGCAGGGAAAATCTCCGTATTAAGCAGCACTGAAATATCAGCGAGGCCTCTTTGCTCTGAAGGAAGCCCCCAGTTCTTCCGACCCCTGGGGACAGAAGGCAATAGTTGGGGCTAGGTCTGTGCAGGGATGTAGGGAGGCTTCTGCACCAGGTGAGGGAGGCCCATCAGTAGGGGACAGAAGAGGACACCTGCCAAAACTGAAGACATGCCAGCCCTTTCTCACACACACACACACACACACACACACACACACACACACCCTCCCTCACCTGGCAAGATTAAGGAGCCAATTCAGGGCATGTGATTGCCCCAAAGTGGCCAGAATTTGCACCTCAGGGAGGAAGTAAGTTGAAGGCAACAACACGTGAGCAGTCGTGCTGACACAGCATTTCGGGATGGACATTCTTGAGGGCAACCAATAGACAGGCTGGGCTGAGAGCACCACTGATATTACAAATAACCTACTGTTTCCGCGAGAACATACACAAGTTTGAATGGTACCAGGAGGAAGCAGTCTATTTGTTTATTTGGACACAGAGGTGAATTTTTGTTTTCTATTTTGGTTATAAAATTATAAGTTTGCACGGATGCAGAGCAACAAATCTGGGACCTGTAGCTTATAATTTATGAAACAGATTCTAGGAAACAGTTGGCATTTCTAGCAAATTTCTGATGGTTAATTTTCCTTTTGGAAGAGAGTCCCATGTCCCTCCATTTATGGCTTTAAATATTTAACATCTAACACACAATTGGGAACACAGGAGATCTCCAATAAATATCTGTCGCTGGTCATTTCAGGCGTTTCCTAAACGTTCCCATGTCCTGCCATTTCAGCTTTCCCTACCTCTGTGTGCAGCAACAATTCAAAGGGAAGAGGAAACCACCTTTTTCTCCAGCTAAAACCGCTCAATGCATCTAAGACCCAAAGAGGGAAGTTTACATCTCCAAAGATGCCACTCCCAAGCACTTCCTCAGCTTCTCCTACACCAAACCCTGCCTCATACTTCGTGCTTCTACAGTGCAAGCTGACTATAGTTCCTTCCTAAAGTCACCTTCGTTTTCTCACCTCTTGGCTTTTGCTCTTGATAATCCATTCTGAATTTGCTTCCCTTTCTTCTTTGCTGGATGCCAGTCATTTTAAGACGCAGTTAAAATTCTCACCCCTTCCAGAAAGCCCTCCAGGATCTTCAGGCTCAACCTCAGGCTGAGCCAAGGGACGCTCCTTTGTGCACCCACATGGCCCCGGGCTGCACTGGATATGTTGAATTGTGCCCACCTTTTCTTGGGTCTGTCACCCCTCAGAAGAATGTGTTCTCTTGGATGGCATCTTTGTTTTCCCACTGCTTAACATGAGTTATGGGTCCAAGGTGGGGGTCACTCCGTAAATATTTATTGACTGATCAATAAGGAGATTTAGTTATGTTCTCTAGTTTGCACAGGATACAGGAGAATATAATCTTCATTTTCAAATTTAAAGGTAGAAGTGATTTTGAAGATTATCCTCATTTAGAGCAGAACACGGGTTAATCTCTGGGTTTGAATGGATTTAATGGTCGAGAAGGATCTGGGTTTCACATCGTGAGGGACTCAAAAAGTGCCCAGTGGTTTCTGAGACACAACACTGGGCCATGTTAACAAGGAGAAACAGTGTGCTCTTCAGTCGCTGGTGGGGTCAAGGTGAAACACACAGAGGAAGCAGTCAGGTGTGGCTGAGACCAGCCTCACTTGAGAACTCTCAACCTGGCAGGTGCTCCATCGAGCTTACCCGTTTATCCCCACAAGAGTCCTCTGAGGTCGGCCGCTTGGCTCCATTTTATGGATTAGTCAACTAAGATTGTAAGGACCTCAGCAACCTCCCCAAGGTCACCTCTCTGTAAGTGGGAAAGATGGGGGTTTGTGATACTCAAGTAAGGCTCCCAGCAGCTTTCCAGCCCGTACTGGCTCATGCCTATGAAATTCTAAAGTTTTTTTTTCTTTGCAAAATTTACTGAGTAACTCCAAAAACCAAATATAGAATAAACTGTCAGAGAAAAAGCTGTGTCCTGAAATCTCATCTGCCCCTCATTCATACAGATTTGGCAGGAATGATTTCAAAAAGCCACCAAAGAGAAATTGGGAGAGCATCTGGAATGCTTTCCCAAGTTGGGTCTTCTCTCGTGACAGCTGGTGGTGACCACCACAATTGATGGCTCAGCTGTAGCCTGAGTCATGCACATGACACTGTTGAACCAGCTTAAAACTTCTGCTCAGAGGCCAGCACTTGCCAGAGAGAGAGCACTGGACGGAATAAGCCCGTATGCTCACCGCAGCTTGGCATCAAAGAGAATGTGAGGAACTAGAGGAAGAGCTCTTGGCCTGGCATCTCCACTCTTCCCCAGAGCAGGCCAGTGCAGGATGAGATGTTGTTCCCGGTGACACAGGTACACATGAGGAAAGGACGGTCTCTGAGAGAGAAATCTTGTCTGCAGCAGCCCTTTCACTAGAGGATCTAGTGGAATGGCATGATCCTAGCCACAACGGAAAGGGCATCTCTGGGATACACGAGGTTTGCTGAGAAGTCTTTGAGTCTAGCCTGGGCCCTTCCCAGTTTCTTTGGGATTGCAGATTACCAAGGTGAGATTGGGTATCAAGGTCTTTTATTAATTTGGTTTCAAGTCCTTAGGAAACACCTGAGAAGATCAACGACAGATACTTGTTGGAGATCGACTGTGTTCCCAGTCGTGTGTTGATGTTAAATATTGAAAGCCGTACAGGGTACTACCCTTCCCCTCAGGAAGACAAGCATTTCACTGGGGAAATAAATAGGCAAATAAAAATAAACATGAGATAAAATAATTGACAATTAAATATTACAGTCTGTACATTACAGGTATTGGAAGGGGAAAAGTCATTGTGGGTTGGAGAAAATTGAGAGCAGCACTTCTCAGTCCTGGGTAGAGATCAGAATTACCATGGTGCTTTGAAAGAACACTCGTGGGCCGGCCCCACATCTCAGAACTTTTCAGTTAATTTGTTTGTGCCAGGTGAGATCCCTGGTCATTTCTGAAGCCCACTGGGATTCTCCTGGAGTGCCAGGGTTGGAGAACAATTCTTGGATGAGACTGTAAACTTCTTGAGGTCAGGGACTATGTTGGCCATATTTGTTTAGTCAATCTACAGCATCTAAACCAGTTTCTTGGAGTGGGCTAGACCATGAAAATGGGTAGTGTTTATATTAGGAGAAGAGTATATATTCAGTGCTGAGTAGGAAACGTTCAAGTTGCTGGGAAGTGGATCAGGTAGGGAACAGATGTGACTAAGAACGGAAGGTTCCAAGGGAGAAGAGCAGCACTTAATACAGACTTGTACACTGACATTCACCAGCGGAAAGACTCAAACGTCAGAAATGTGCAGTGGCTTGGAATTCATCAGGACACTAAATCAGAGGTGAGCAGAACGACAAGTAAATAGTCCTTAGCTTCTTTAAGAGATTACGGTCACTGACCAGGGCAGAGAATTTTCCAGAATAGCCACTAGCAGTCAGTTTACTCAGATCCCAGAGTGGTTTCGATTAAAGTTCCTAATACCTATCACAGGTAAATCACAACCCATGATGTTTGTCGGAGAGACTAGTTATTGTCACATTAGGGAGCAACATGATTGATTACCCCACTGACTCCCTGAAATCGTTGACTGAAAGGGTCAAGCCATGCAACTGACCCCTCGGTGGTGCCTGGGTATCACATCCAGTTGGCAGCTAACAAACTTGAAAAGAATAAATAGTGCTTGTGGGGATGGAAACACAGTTCGTGGGCAGGTTCTGCTCTAACAGCAATTTCATTAAGGCCCCTGTTTTTCAAAGTGCTAGTTTCTGACTTTTAGGGGAGAGGAAACTTATCTACATTAATCAGCCAAACTCCACAAGGCTCTCCATCTGCCTTATCTTTATCACCCTTCGAAGGTCCTCACAGACCAGCAGTGGAGAAAGAAAAAAGTCAGCCAAATGATAATTCATCGTTGGAAAGTTGAAATGCCCAAGTTGTAGTGTACGGAATATAGCTGACATCTTGTGTAGCACAAATCCTCCAGAGCAGCCTGCGGCCAAGGCCATCAAGGTGACTCTGCCTCCCTGAAGAGAGACACTCAGGAGGGAAGAAGGCAAGAGGAGGCCCTGAGAGGAAGCGATTCTGTATATCTGTGCTCTTGCTCAGAGCATGCCTTCAGAGAACACTGCAGGGGCCAAACCCGGTCCGTCTGGAGCCAGCAGGGAGGAGGGGCAGGAGAAGCTGGGCCACAGGAGCCGGCTCTAGGGGGCAAATGCAGGAGCAAAAGGAACACCTAGGTCAGGACTGGCTGACAGGGAGGGTCTGGGGAAGGGTCTGGAAAGGGAGAAGTGAATACATGAGACTCGGCACATTATAGGAGAGTGGGGAAAAGGGAACAAGTTTTCCATCAGTCCCACACTGCTCCCCATTCCTGCCTTAGGGCTTCGAGCTAGCTTAATGCAGGCATTGACATCAGACCCGACGCCCGCCCCCTGCCCCCATCCGCCCTGGACGGCTGACTTCCTCTCCCTGGGGGCATGCACGCACAGGGACCTGTATCACGCCCACACTGCCTGGCCACACGCAATCTCGGGCACTTGGCTGGTAGTCAGTGGAAGCACATTGAGCCGCACGTTCCCTGAGTGATGGGTAGATTGAAAGAATAAATGGATGGTAAGATCTTAGTCTGGCAATAAACGTGTTCCAGCTAAAGCCTGGCGTGAACGAAACTTTGTGAAAAATCCAATAGTTCGTGGCGGCACCCAGATCCTTCCTCTGCTTGTCGACTTTTCCAGCCTGTGCTATTCCAGGTGTGTTGGCAGAAATTTGGGAGGGACCAGACACATCCAATTTGATTAGGAGGGTGGTAGAGAGAAGAAGATAATAATGAAGTAAAGCTGAGAAAAGGAGGTGGCAGGGGTGGGACAAATTCATTTTGAGCAAGATTTTATGAAAAAGGTGCAAATTAGATGCAAAATGGAGAAGCAGAAACTGACATTAATTGCCTGCTCTGTGCCAATTTCGGTGCCAGGGGCTTTCCCTGCATGACCTCATATATTCCCCATAGGAATAGAACCAGGCATGTGACGTAGCCCCACTTAGCAAATGCCAAAACTGGAGGCTTCAAGGGGTTAAGTAGATTACCAGGATTCACAGAGCAGGCAAGGAAGGAAACCAGGACCCAGAGTTGTCTGCTCTCCAACTTCCCCATGGTGTCACCAGGCAAGAGTGTGGGGCCAGTGCTCTTGTTATGAGGAGAGCAGAACTGCTAAATGTGGTTCTCCGGTTATACTTTGTCTCTAGGAGAGAAAGTTCACTGGGAAGTGGGACATGGATGGGGCTTGTAGACATACATAAGCAAGTCCCTCGACAGCCACTTACCTGAATATTTTATCAGAAGGCTGTTCTCCCAAAACCAGGTCAAAGCCCCGCTGAAATATTGTGTAAGGCCAAGGCCTAAAAGGAGAAAAATCATTCAATTACAATCAACTCCACAAATACCCTTGGAAAACATCTGCTTTGTGAGAGAGGCACTGTGCTGGTTCCTGGAGACCCAGAAACGGAGAGGACCTCATCCCTGCTCTCCAGACTCCCGTTGGTGGGAGCTCACACAAGATCCTGAATGCTGGAACCAGACTGAGAGCAGGATCGAGGTAAAAGTCACCAAACCACTAGGAAAGTGAGCTGTAATTGACATGACAAACACTAGTACACAGAGAGCAAAATTATGTTCAGGTGGACCTCGTGTAGCTGTAATTCATGGCCCTTCTGATGTAGACAGGACAGACAGACACTTAGCTCTGCCTCACTTAAAAAAAGAGCAGCATGATTTCTTGGGAAAGACGAAACCTCTGGAATCAGACAGCTCTGGGTTCAAACCCTGTTCTGCTGTTGACCCACTGGCTTGCTGTGGGAAGCTTATTTGCTTCCCACAGCATTTGTTGAATCTAATTTCCTCTTTGGTAAAAAAAAAAAAAAAAAAAAATAGGGTTAATAACAGCTGCCTCCAGACCACTGTGAAGATTAAGCAAACCTCTTGGGCCAAAGCCACAGCTCACACAGGGTCCTCAAACTGTGCCCCTTCCTACTCAAAATGACATGACAATTCTGGGTCTTTGACGGGTTCCAGATGTTTTCAAACATTTTTATGTAATTCATTCAAGCAGAAACAATTGAAATGGTGTTTTTAAATAACTCTTAACTACAAGTCTCCCTTGTGAGCCTCTAGGTTTTGTCACCTGTACTTGAAAGTAACAAAACTATTTCACTTAAACAGTAGATATCTGTTGACTAACCCAAATGTCTAAAACAAAAAATATTTACTCATTTGAGTTAGGCTTAGTGAAGCCTGGGATTGTGTTGGGTATTAGATACTGTACGTCCTAAACTGAGCCCTTGTCCCCATGGAACTCAGTCTCAAAACTGACCCAAGTACTAAGGATTTTCCTGTAGACATGCCTTTGGTTTTCAAGAACCAGAAAGAGTCAGCAGAATAAATTGACCTAATCATGATCTGGGGCTAATGTTGGGAACTAACCTTATAGTTATCTGTGTGGGTGATATCACCCAGTAGAGTGCATTTGGGGACATTCATGGTTGCTCTTCAATAACACAATGCTTGGAGGACACGGCTGGCATTTAGAGGGCCAGGCTAGAAAGGCTAGAAGAGTACAGTGCTTAGGATAGCTCTGCGCAACAAGGCATTTCCATATGTCCTGCTAACTACTGAATGTCTCGCTACACATTTACATAGGTGAAAACCTGAGCCAAGATGCTAACTCCGTTTACATATAAGCACAAAGCAGCTTGTACTGGTTTAACGTATGACACATTCTTCCATTGCATAACTACCATGTATTTCGAGGGAAGATGATACATCATTAGAAATTTTACCAAGAGTTGTTGGTAAGTTTGGAAAACGATAGCATTGTCCACGATGCTGTTCATGATCTTTGAGTCATCAATACGGCACATCTGAATCAGTCTAGATCGCTCTTACATATATTGTATATCATATACTACTCCACATGTTACATTACGGTGAATCAACATCAGGTGGAAATGTCTGTTGACTTTATTATTTCTTCTATCGCAATACTACCACAGTACTTACACATTAAAATGGTTAGTCTAGCATTACCAATTATGTTCTTTTTATTTCTCTTTTAATCACTGTTAAGGCATTATATTCATAGTTGAAATTTTGCATATGTATATTTTATTATTTATGAATTTCACGTAAGGATTATAAAAGGGGTTTAAAAATTTATTATAAAACAGGGTGTTGGGTATGATAGGGTTGAGCACCACCAACTTAACTCAACTAGTTAACCAATTAACTAGCCAAAAGAGTTAACAGTTGCAAGGGAAGCCATTAAGACTACAGAAGGAAGTGCCTGGGATGAAAGCATTCTTTTTTTTAATGCTTACTATTTATAAACACTTTATTCCTGGAATTCAATTTAGAAATACCCTGAAGCAACTAGAATTGGTTCCAAAAAGTACCCCACACTGTATTATGAATAACCCCTGCATCAAATAAACAGCTCTCCCCCATGTGTTTTCCCTGTTTGTTCTCTTTATTGGAGGTGAACCCACAGAGAGGGGTTTGAATAGGATTCTTTTTTGCTGAACAGCAAGTGGTGGCTTACGGGCAGCTAAAAATTATGTATTAATTCAAGAAAAAGTCTAGAAGTCATGAGGGAAAAAAAAGTCCCACATGATCCTTGACACCTAGAAAGGGCAACAGAAAAAGCGGGATGTGTACCTTTATCTCTCTGTTGGGCAAAATCACATTTTATTTACTATCAGCTTAATAGTTTTAAATAACACACATTTTGCCTTCGAGTCATCTCCAACACTCAAAAACTGGTACAATGTGTAATTAGAGTTAATTCTTGGCTTGGTTCCTAGGTTGTTTGAAAATATATTTTGAGGAGCCAAATTTTAGGACTGGCGTTGATTACAATGTGAACAATTAACTGCATAGAATAACATAAATAAACCTGTATTCAAGCCATTGGTAATTGACATAAATAAACCTGTATTCAAGCCACAGGTAATAAATCAATGAGCCCACTGATTAAGCACACACCAGCATGTTGCTAGGTAGGTCAGACCAAAGTGCCCTCCTGTTCTCAAGGGGCCTGGAGATGAAGAAAGACAACTCAAATTCCAAGGGCACAGATGTGCACGGTAGACCTTGCCCAAATCACAATGAGAAGAAGCAGGGCACAGAAATCAGGACATGGGTTCCGGAGCCAGCCTGCTTATTTCCAGTTCCAGCTTCGCCACCAATCACAGTGTGATCTTGAGCAAGTCCCTTAATCATTGTGTCCCCGTTTCCTCCCCTGCAAAATGAGGTTGATGATAACAATTCTATCTGCTTGGCCAGGTTGTCATGAGGAGGAACGATTTAATATAGCTTAAGTGTTCAAAACAGTGTCTGACATTTAGGGAGTGTCCTACAAGCATTGGCTAAAAAAGTTAAATTTATCAGTTACCTGAGTCAAATACGAACACTATAGTAAGGAGATTCCCTAATTTTTATAAAGGAAGAGGTGTCTGGTCTGCAGTCCAAATGCGATGGCAACACCAGGCTTTAACTCAGATTGTACACATACGAGAGCTGCCTGGAGAGGAGGTCATGATGAACGTGGGAACACCAACACTCCACCTTCCCCCCACACCGCCCACCCAGCCGTCACTTCACAGGACAGTGACGATACAGTATGGACATTCAATACACAGAGAGGGGGTCAGAGCAACCTGTGAAATGGTGAGCCTTGCCAACCACTCTAGCAAGGGAATAAAAGAGAATCTATTCATTTTCTTCCCACCAGTCAAGGGTGATCCGTCCAAGAGATGGGGATTCCTGTTTGAGTTAGTTAGCAAATGTTTACGGAGGGCCTATTGTGTGTGAACTGTGCTACTAGGTAACAGGAGTTGGGATAGAGAGATTCTTGACCTCAAAGGCACCTACAGTCTTTATGAAGAAACCCATAAAGTCCAGGCAAACAGAAAAGAACGAGTAAACGGGAAGAGGAATGGAGTTCCAGGAGGGAAGCTAGATGGTAGCACAGCGGTACAGCGTTCATCCTGGATGCTGGGCAGCCGGGGGGCGGGGGTGCCTGGAACGGGCGGCAGTGAGCCGGGTGCACGTGAGCTACAGGGGGCCACATGGGAAAACGCAGGGGTAACACAATAAAGGGCAGGACCTAACAGCACCAAAAATTCTTGGGAGCTGAGTTATCCATCACCACCTGACAGAAGAAAGGCCTCCTTATCAGGGCCATCTGGGCAGAGGTCCAAGTCAGAAGCCCATCACTGAGTCCTACATCCACGCTGAAATGGATGTTGCCGTGGGGGTGCGTGGGAACCACGGCCCTCCAAGGGTCCCTCTCCTCTCTTTGCTTTGTTTCTCACCCTTTAGGTTTTATTCCCTCAGAATGGCTAAAGCACATGGAGGAGACGTGGCCCCCTTCAGCTGTGGCTCATGTCTTTATAGGGTCAGACCACAGAGGGGATGCGCCCCTTCCTCATTTGGAAAACGTAGCTCATGGAGGAACTGTTTGACATGCCCTGAGTCAGAGAAACCACCAGAACCCACTCTGGGGTTGGGGAAGGAAAGAGGCATCTAAGGAGAAGCCACTCCCATTTGGGTTTTGGGGCTCAAGCTGGGGGCAGGGAGTGAGTGCCAAAGAGAATAATAATTTCCACCTCAGCTTCTTATCCACTTGTGGGGGGCAAGAGAGTGGTCTCCATCAGAAATGGGGGGCATCACTGAGCAGGCTGTGCCAATATGAGTTCTGTGGAGAGAGTGCGAGGCTGTGGAGTTGTTCAAGGATGGCATTGGGCCGGGTGTGGGGCATGAGGCTGAACCCCACAGCTGCAAGGAAATGTCACTCTCTTGACTCCAACTTGGATGCATGGCCTCCAATATTCTGTCCTGTGCTGGGCACGCCAGTCACAGCTTCTTCACTGAGGAACATTAACAGCATCAGAAGTCAGAACAGAGTTTATTTGTTGGTTAATTTCTTCATTCTGACCAATCAAGACTCTGAGGACTGCCCCATGGGGGCAGCTACAGATGGCCTGGATTCTGGGGCAATCACAGGCCAGCATGACAACCGTGTGGGACCCATGGCCTCAAGCGAGAGCATCACCCCTACCGCAGACAAGCCCCGTAGTAACGGAGACATGGCAGCAAGTGGGACACACGCACAAACTGGGGATGCTGAGAATGGTTAGTCGTCTTTGCCTTGCCTTTTCCTCTCTCCCCATCTCACACTATACCCTCAGTTTACACAGAATCTTTCCTCAGCACGGGCAACTCCCAGACTTTCAGCTTCTCTCCTCAGGCTTTCCTCTTCTTTCCCAGGACGCATCAGCCATCATGGGCTTTTCCCCTTTGGTCTTGGTGTTGGGCTGGGCCAGAAGTTGACCGTGGCCTTGAC